GAATAGATACACATATGGGGAGCTCCACGCAGTGAATAATTGGCGGACCGCGCCGGAGGAGAGAACGAGAGAGAACACACCACTCCTCTCACCCAGACCCACTCACTCATCACTCAGACTCACTCATCACTCAGACCCACTCATCACTCAGACTCACTCATCACTCAGACTCACTCATCACTCAGACTCACTCATCACTCAGACTCATCACTCATCACTCAGACTCACTCATCACTCAGACTCACTCATCACTCAGACTCACTCATCATTCAGACTCACTCGTACTTGTACTCATACATTCACTACACTCACTCAGGTCCACTCATCGGATGACTCACACACACTGATGTTGAGGATGTCTCAGGCGATTCTGTGGCTTCAGCACTCCTAAGGGGGGTGTTTCACTTTGCCCCTTTCGCAGGATGTTGTGGGAATGTCTCGAGCGGTTTGCCTGTTTTCTGTCCCAACATCCTTCGCTTTCGGAGCAGATTTGGAGGATGTCTCGAGCGAGGCGCTCATGTTTACGTTCCTAAGGGGAGCGGCGGGGGGGTGTTTCACTCGGCCCCTTTCGCAGGATTTTGTAGGGATGTCTCGAGCGGTTTGCTTGTTTTCTGTGCCAGCATCCTTCGCTTTCGGAGCAGATTTGGAGAATGTCTCGAGCGAGGCGCTTATTTTCACCCCCCCCAGGTGGGCCAGATTTTGAGGATGTCTCAATCGGTTTGCTTGTTTTGGTGGCCAGGCTCGTGGGCGCAGATTCTTCTCAGGATGCCACAGGAGGCTCCAACAGGCTCCAGGAGGCCCCAGAAGACCACATGAGGTCCCAGGAGGCATCAGGAGGCCACAGAAAGACTCAAGAGGCCACAGGATGTCCCAAGAGGCTCCAGGAGGCCCCAGGAAGCTCCAGAAGGCCTCAGGAAACCACAGGAGGCCCCAGGAGGCAACAGGAAGCGCCAGGAGGCCTCGGAAGGCAACAGGAGGCCTCGAGAGGCCCCAGGAGCAGGAGGCCTCAGAAGGCAACAGGAGTGGCTCCAATCCCATGTGTTTTACGTATGCTCCTATCGATTGGGCCTCACCTGGAGCACGATTCTTTGATGTTATACGTATGTTTCTATAGATTGTCCTTCTCCTGTGTACACAATCCTACATGTTTTACTTATGTTCCTATATATTGGGCCTCTCCTGGGGCACGATCCATGGTGTTTTACGCGTGTTCTATAGATTGCCCTTCTCCAGTGGCTCTAATCCGCAATGTTTTATGTACTCCAGATTTCGTAATCAAGGGAGGGGGGTCTCATTTCGGGGGGGGTCTCTTCCAGGCCATCTTGGAGGGCCTGGGGGGTCTGGGGACGATGTTTTGGAGGGTTCTCCCACGGGGGAGGTCTGAAATGGCTTGTCTTGGAGGGTCCAGACCCCCTCCCTTTTATTACGAAATCTGGAGTACGTCTGTTGTATATATATAATATATATATATATATATATATATATATATATATATATTGCGCCTCTCCTGGGGCACGAAACCTCCCTAGGAGGTCCCAGGAGGCCCCAAGAGGCTCCTGGAGACCCCAGGAAGCCCCAGTAGGTTTCAGGAGGCCCCAGGAGGCCCCAGGCTCATGCACAGAGACGCGCTCGTACTACTGAGGCTCATTCACACTCCAATTCATTCGCAGTTAGATTTATGTCCAGACCGTCACAACTGAAGCCCGTTTATATTCGAAAGCTCTTGCGCCTAGACATTCACGGCGGACAGGTCCATGCGAATAGATGCACATATGGGAAGCTCCACGCAGTGAATAATTAATAAAAAATCGTACTTCGCAACAAGACTTCGTGGACAACCCTACTGGACACCATCGGGAAACTTCCGGCCTGGAGGCCTGGAGGCCGGTTCGTTCGCACCGGCCCCGACCTGGAGGCCGGTCCGTTGCCTAATAGTAGTAGTAGTAGTAGTAGTAGTAGTAGTAGTAGTAGTAGTAGTAGTAGTAGTAGCAGTAGTAATAGTAGTAGTAGTAATAGTAGTAGTAGTAGTAGTAGTAGTAGTAGTAGTAGTCATAGTAGTAGTAATAGTAGTAGTAGTAGTAGTAGTACTAGTACTAGTAATACTAGTAGTAGTAGTAGTAGTAGTAGTCCTAGTAGTCGTAGTAGTAGTAGTAGTAGTAGTAGTAGTAGTCGTAGTAGTAGTAGTAGTAGTAGTAGTAGTAGTAGTAATAATAATAATAATAGTAGTGGTAGTGGTAGTAGTAGTAGTAGTAGTAGTAGTAGTAGTAGTAGTAGTTCTTCAAAAAGTAGTAATCGTAGTAGTAGTCGTAGTCGTAGTTGTCGTACTGGTAGTAGTAGTAGTAGTAGTAGTAGTAGTAGTAGTAGTAGTAGTAGTAGTAGTGGTGGTAGTGGTGGTAGTAGTAGTAGTAGTAGTAATAGTAGTAGTAGTAGTAGTAGTAGTAGTAGTAGTAGTAGTAGTAGTAGTAGTAGTAGTAGTACAACAACAACAAGCATCGTTGTTATCGTAGCCGCCCCTGGATGCGCGGCGTGATGATCGTTGCCTGCGATGCGACAGTAACGGCCTGCCCCCCCTGGCGGCCCACGAACGCCACGCACCACTTTGCAGCCCATACAGAGGGCCACCCTGACGTGCAGCCCCTAGAGAGGGCTGGGACTTGGACAGGCTAGGGAGCAGCGGGGGTCTGCTTCCTGTTATGAACGAGGCAAGTCCTGACGGAAACAGGGCCTGGACTCCGAGGCATTCCCCCGGGACCAGTCTCCCATCCCAAGCCGTCGTCTGTCGGCCATCGGAACCCCCACGGGGCCCCGAGGACAGCCCCTGGAGCCGGAAATCAATCAATCAATCAGAGGCAACAGCGTGGAACGGGGACTCCCCGCTGCAATGTCCCGGCGGAGAATCGCCGGTCACGCCCGGAGGCCGCGAGGAGGACATCCACCTCCATCCTGTTTGGCGTCCATCACCTCATCCTCCTCAGCCCTCCGCGACCTGCTCGTGCACCTTCTCAAGCAGCACCACCCTGGCATCCCCCTCCCCATCGTCCTCCTCCAACTTGCCATCCTGGTCCTCCTCCTCCTCCTCCTCCTCGTCCTGTTGCTCCTCCTCCTCCTCATCATCCACTCCTCGTCATGCTGCTCCTCCTCCTCGTCCCTTCCCTCCTCCTCGCCCTCTTCCCCCATCCTCCTCCACCTGCTCCTGCACCAGATCATGGATAAGACGCGACAAGCTGCATGAATAAGACGGCGCCGATGCACCTACATCCGCGGGCAGCTTGCGCGCGGGTGAACGCGCAATCGATCCTCGCGGCATCGCCCCCCCAAATTTCAAAGTAGGCGGTGCAACAGACCGCTTCTGTCAAAACCTCGTCCCCCCCCCCCCCCCGGGGGCGGTTAACTCACCCATCCCGCTAGCAGACCGTGGAGGCATTGGATAAGGAATCCAGGGTCTGGAGCCTTGTGGAGATCCACTTGCGTGGAAGAGGGGGGGGGGGGGGGGGCAGAAGTTGTCCGCCCCCAATCATTGTGAGCTCTCTACCCTCCCTCCGTCTCCTCTCCCCCCCTACTTCCTCCTCCCTCCCGCCTCCCTCCTCCCTCCCCCCTCCCTCCCACCTCCCTCCCACCCTTCCTCCGCCTCTGATCCCCTGGAGGAGGACGGCAGGTGAGCGGTGCGGTTGCAGTTGCGCGCCCGCGGGCGGGTTGAAATGTGTCGCCCAGTTGGGATTGCGGTTGCGCGCCCGCGGGCGGGTTGAAATGCGTCGCCCAGTTGCGGTTGCGCGCCCGCGGGCGGTTTGAAATGTGTCGCCCAGTTGCGGTTGCGGTTGCGCGCCCGCGGGCGGGTTGAAATGTGTCGCCCAGTTGCGGTTGCGGTTGCGCGCCCGCGGGCGGGTCGAAATGTGTCGCGTAGGTGCCTTTGCGCGCCGAGCGGGCGGGTTGAAATGCGTCGCCCAGGTGCGGTTGCGGTCGCGCGCCCGCGGGCGGGTCGAAATGTGTCGCGTAGTTGCGGTTGCTGTTGCACGCCTGCGGGTGGGTTGACATGTGCCGCACAGTTGCGGTTGCGCGCCCGCGGGCTGGTCGAAATGTGTCGCCCAGGTGAAGTTGCGGTTGCGCGCCCGCGGGCGGTCCGAAATGTGTCGCCCAGGTGCGGTTGCTGTTGCGCGCCCGCGGGCGGGACGAAATGTGGCGCCCAGTTGGGATTGCGGTTGCGCGCCCGCGGGCGGATTGAAATGCGTTGCCCAGTTGCGCTTGCGCGCCCGCGGGCGGGTTGAAATGTGTCGCTCAGGTGCGCTTGCGGTTGCGCGCCCGCGGGCGGGATGAAATGTGTCGCCCAGTTGCGGTTGCGGCTGCGCGCCCGCGGGCGGGTCGAAATGTGTCGAGTAGTTGCCTTTGCGCGCCCGCGGGCGGGTTGAAATGTGTCGCCCGAATGCGGTTGCGCGCCCGCGGGCGGGTTGAAATGTGTCGCCCAGTTGCGGTTGCGGTTGCGCGCCCGCGGGCGGGTTGAAATGCGTTGCCCAGTTGCGGTTGCGGTCGCACGCCCGCGGACGGTCGAAATGTGTCGCCCAGTTGCGGTTGCGCGCCCGCGGGCAGTTTGAAATGTGTTGTTCAAGGTGCTCTCCTGACGTTCAGTCAGTCAATCAGTCAGTCAATCAGTCAGTCAATCAGTCAATCAATCAATGAATCAATCACCGGCGGGCACGAAATTTCACCCGGCTCCGCCAGGAACAAGCCGTGTGGCGCGCACATGGACAACGGAAGGGAACTAGCGAGAGCGGCTGTTCTATCGCGCCGTGCTATTCCAGACGCGCGCCGGCATGGCAGCAACCACTGAAACATTGATGGTTCTTTGTGCACGTGCATGCACAGCGTGTCTACACACCTCGCGCGCCTGTTTCCGAGGAGAACGGGGACAAAGACTGAGGACCCGTTTCCCTCAGGGCCCCTTCCCCCCCTGGCGCCTCCTCGTTTCCAGCCCACTGCGCGCACGACGCTCTCCTGCCACCCGCGGCTCACGCCCCTGCGGGGTCGCCCACGCCCGACTCGCGGAAGACGCGAAGCACGGCGTCGCAGGCCTCCTCGGGTGTCCAGCCAGGGCGCGAGGAGAATCCCGCGGCCGCGCTGTCCAACGCCCTGCACATCGCCGCATACCTCGCAGGCGAAGCAGGCGGGCCCCGAGGGAGGCGGGCCCTGGAGGCTCTTCGGCGCGCGTTCGGCCTCCTGGAGCCCCCCGGGGGCCTAGGGACCAGGCACAAACTGGTCGGGACGAAGAGCTGGCCCTGGGGCGGGGCCCCAGGCCAGCGCAGATGATAATTACCGCGGGGGCCGGCTGCACATGGACCTGGAATCGGCGTTGCGTCGCCATGGATCGGCGATAGGCCCGGCGACCAGGCGTCTATCGGCGATGGAAGGGCGGTAGGGGTCCATGCATCCCCCCCCTTAGCCTACGCCCCCGCAGCGTTGCCCCTCACCCCAGGGCCCAGGACCCGTTGCCCGCAGGGGCCGCCAGGTAAGGCGAAGCCAGGAGGAGGATAAATTCGGGTGAGGATACATCGAGAATCCCTGCGGCCTTCTCAGAGCGTTCCGGCACGCTCTGGAACGGATGTATCCTCTTCCTGGCCCCGCCCGACGAAGGCCCAGGACCCGTTGCCCTCAGGGGCCGCTTGCTTCACGCCAGCTACCGCGTGCTCGCGGAGCCCGCAGCCACGGCGGGAGCGCAAGTGCCCCGCCAGAGGTCCGCCAGGCGCCCGCCCTGTGCGCCCCCCGCCTTGGCCCACCCTGCGAAGCGCAGGCACTGCGCTCGCATCCGCACCTCGGCGAGGCTCCGGACCCGCGCGGGAAACCTTGAGCAGGGACCGACCGTCCCGGCACTCCTACAGGCCTGCCACGACATGCATGTTCGCAGAAGGAAAAAAAACATTTTGGGAAGAAGAGCCGCGATTTTAGAACGGGGGCCAAGTGCATTAAAACAAGATGGTCTCAAGCAGAACTGTTGTGAGAGCACTTCTAGAAGAAGAAAAAGCGCCACAAACATACAATGTTGGCGCTCCGCGCGGAGTTCTTGGATCTGGCCTGGATGCCGCGCGCGGAGCGCGCCAGGGCCGGCGCCGGAGGCGCCGTCGGGGGGGGTCAGCCCAGATCCAAGACATCCGCGCGGAGCGCCGAAAGTTTCTGCTTATGGTTATTCTTCTTCTTCTTCTTTTTCTTCTTTGACCTTCGTGCAAGCCACCTTTAATAGGCTATTGAAGCAATACCTTCGATCCCCGAAGACAACTCCGTCGATCCCCGAAGACAAGACCATTTTTGTAACGCCCCGAATGTTCTTATAAGAAACGAACGTCTCAGGAACAAAAGCCAGGCTCTCAGAACAGGGGCCTGATGCATCATAACAAGACGGCCTCAGCCAGCACTGTTCTGAGAGCACTGCGTGCAAACCACCCACAGGCTCTTGAAGCACCACCTGGTGGGCCTGTAGAGCGGCCAGGACGCTTCGCCACTGCTCGAGAACCGGTGCGGCTCCGCGGCGGTCGGCCCCCCGTGCGCTGCAGCCTCGGCGGCCCCCGCCCCCACCGGGCTGGGGACGGGGCGGTGCCGCGAGCGCCCGCTGCCGGCCGCCACCGGCGCCTTCTCGACGTCGCCCGCCCTGACGCGGAGGCGCTCCTCTCAGGTCGGGCATGTCCTCCTACAGGCGGATTTTGGACGCAGACTACGGACAAGTCAGAAAAAATCAAAAAAATAACCCAAAATATTTCTTTATCCAAAAATGTTTGAAAATTCCTGCTGCAGAGGGACAGGCACGTCTCAAAGCCTTGACGCGGAGGCGCTCCTCGCGCGTGGCGCGCTCGGCGGGCGCCGGCCAGGGCCTGCGCACCGTCGCGGCGGGCATGTCGTGCAGCTCCTCCCCGGTCTGCGACAACTGCTGGCCCTCGGGGAGGACGTCGAACTCGTCCACGGGCGTGCCGGGGCCCCGCACGGGCAGAGGCCGCTGCGCCCGGGCGCGGTGCCACTCCAGGCGCGGCGGGCTCACGCCGAACATCACCGGCAGCGGCCCCGGCGCCGCCCCGCTGGACTGCGCGGCGCGGCCCCGGAGGTCCGCGCGCTGCCCCACGAGGCCCAGCTGCGCACGGCGCGCGGGCGGGGCCGTGGGCAGCTCCCGCCGCAGCAGCACCTCCTCGTCCGTGGCCTCGGCATCGCCGGGCGCCTGCACTACGTCGCCCGCGCCCAGAGGGCTGCTCAGCCAGAGGGGGGCCGAGAGGTCGTCGTAGGACGGCGATCTCCTCGAGGCCACCGTGCTGGAGGTGGCGGAGGCCCCCCACGCCGAGGCCACAGCCAAGGCGGCGCTCCCCGCCGCCGCAGTGCCGCCGGCTGGGGGACCCAGCAGGGTCAGCCAGAAAAGGGCGTTCGCCAAAGACTGGAGCCACGACCTTGGCTGCCGAGGCCACATCAGCGAGTCCAGCGGCAGTTCGGTACCCGAGTGAGATCTACATTGCACACCGCGTGCACCCCAGAGCTGCTGGAGCCCAAACGGCTGCGGATGCGGATCGTGGACACGATGAGCCGTCCCTGCGCACCCAAGGGCAAGCGCGCCGCAGAAATGTCTAAAAATAATAAGCGCACCAATCGAAAACGGTTCGTCGCCACTGATGTCTATTCTGCTGGGCTTGCCAGAAAAGGCGAGCCAGACCTCCTCCCGCCTACTACTCTTTCTACACCTCCTCCCTCCTCCTCCTCCGCCTCCTCCTCCACAGCCTCCTCTTCTTCCTCCAGCCCCGTCTCCCTTTCTCCATCCTCCGCCCCCCGCTCTCATTAAACCGCCATCCTTTCTCCCCCTCTTCGACCTTCCTCGCTGTCCTCCTCTGTTTCCTCCTCCTCCTCTTCCTCCTCCTCATGCTGCTCCTCGTCCTCCTCCTCCTCCTCCTCCTCATCATCATCATCATCAGCAGCATCATCAGCAGCATTAGTACCACAATCGCCATCAACATCATCAGCACCATTAGCATCACCATCATCAGCATCAGCATCCTCAGCATCATCAGCATCATCATTTCCATCGTCATCGTCATCGTCATCCGCATCATCATCATCATCATCATCATCATCATCATCATCATCATCAACATCATCATCATCATCAACATCATCATCATCATCATCAGCATCATCATCATCAACATCATCATCATCATCGGTATCATCATCATCATCATCATGATGGTCATCATCAACATCATCAGTATAGTTAAGATCAGAATGGTCATCAGCATCATCGTCACTGGCAGCAACAACATCAACATCATCGTCCTCATAAACACCGTCATCAACACCATTATCATCGTCATGCTCATCATCATCATCAGCATCATCATCAGCATCATGATCAACATCATCAGCACCATCATCATCCTCAGCATCATCATCCTCAGCATCATCAGCATCAGCATCGGCATCACCATCATCACCACCACCATCATCATCACCACCATCATCATCTCCATCGTCATCGCACCCATCCATACTCATCCCTCCAAGACTCCTCCTTTTCTGGATGACCATCTGAGGCGCAACACAAAGCTTCTTGTTTGCAAGCCTCTCGGAGCAATGCCCGTGCTATGTTTGCAATCTCTTGTGACCCAAGTGCCAACCCGAAATCACATGGAGCCCTCCGGGGTGTCACGGCCAAAAAATCATGAACTGGTTCCGACTTTTATGCTATGCGATGCTCCTTGGGGGCTCGGAACAGCCTTTGGTTGGTCATGGGGTCCTTTGGGGCCGTCTTCGGGCAGCGCTGGGTCACCTGGAGGCCATCGTGAAGCTAAAAAGGTTCCTCAGGGCCAGCCTTGGGAGCCACCTCGCATGTATCCGCCACCGTGCCTATGGCACTGGGGCGTGCTACGACTCCACATGCTGGCTGGCAGGGTTCCTGTAAATTCTAAGGGCCCCCCTCCTGTCGCCAAAAAGGAACGCTGTGAGCACCTGGGCGTGCTCACAGCGCTCCTTGTGTGTGGTCTTGTGCTCGCAGCATGCTCATGAGGATGTTGCATCGTCTTGTGTGTGGTGTTCCTTCTGCGTGTGTTCGCTCGTCGCGCAACGGTGCGCCTGGCATTGCATAGCATAGCAAAGCTGGTCCTTCGTGCGAGTATGAAGCCGAAAATCACAAGGAAACAAAAACACCCGTTGACAGATTGAAGAAACCAATGATTAAATTGATTGTTTTTGGCAAACAAATTTTAAAAAAACAAAAAAGAGAATTCGGAAAACAAATCCAGCCGAAACCGTGGTGTTGATTGTTATTGTTTCGTATTTGGTGTTTTCCTGATTGTCTAATGCCTTTGGTGCTTTCTGATTTGTTTGTGTGTTTTTTTTTTTTTCTGATTTCGTGGTTTTTGATGGTTTTCCGTTGCCCTTCGTCCCCCTTGGGATTTTTATGTCCGAAACGAAAAATCAGACACCACCATACAATCTTGAAAAAAACTGAAGTAAGAACATGGTTCGTTAAGAAATAGGGAGAGAGTGGGAGACAAGGGAAACAGGTGTCGGTTGGATGTAGCCGGTTGTTCTTGTATTGTACAAAAAACAAATGGTTCATTCGAAGATTCACTGGTCTTCTGACTTCATCCGTTTTTTGCGAGTTGTCTTGGTTTCCCTGAGTGCTGCTGTCTCTTGTAGTTGCATTAAGTACGTCATGCTTCCACATGTTTTCTCTGTTTATCTCGTGTCTTCCTCGTTTCTTTCTGTCTGTCCCCCCCTCCTTCCCTCCCTCCTCATACCGTCCCCTCTTCGTCACTACGAACGTCTAGCATTACCCCTGGGCAAAGCACGACCCTTGAACTCCGTAGCCACTGTGGCCCCAGCGGAGGCGCATTTGCATACAGCACTGTTTTGCGATGGTTGTCGTAAAGCGAGCAGACGAACGCTGGGATGCTGCAGTGTTGGTGGCACGTTGACACAAGAAGGCCGTGTCGCATTGAAAGAACATGGGTTGAAAGAAGTACGGGCGTGGGGAGCAGCGTTCGGGCTGAATCTCCCGCCAAACGCACAAATGCTATATGAAGCGGTTTTGGAAACGACATCGCTTTCTGGCGATCCAATATATGGAGAGCAAAAATTAAATCATTCGCATGCCTGCTCAAACCCACGAGGCCTGATACTTCAAACAACTGTATGCCGCGTGAAAGGCACCTTCTTGAGAGAGGCAATCATACTATCTGCTTCGATGCGGAGGTATCGAAATCAGGGCGTGCAGGTGTTTATGTGTTTCACTGTGTTGGTTGCTAGTGGTGGTTGCTACTGATACGTCCAAGGCGGACGGGGAAGCAGAGACGACGACTCTGCAGTACATATCTGCCAGCGGCTTCGCAATGGAACAAAACATTGCTGATTGTCCGCGGCGGGCGTTCGAACATTATGATCAGAAGGTTTCCTACACAAATGCCCACCCTCATTCGTTGTTGGAAAGTTCCGTGCCGCCAGCATCTTGTCCCATGGGGTTACAGAAACGGGCGGCGCGTCAAATCTCACTGGGGAAACTTAAGGAAAATCAGGAACTCCTCGGCAACGTCAGAGAAAGAACCCACCGTCACCTGAAAACCGCTTGAAAACTGCAGCGACGCACCGTCTGTGGTCCTGTTGGGGGATCAGACGATGCACGCCCTGGAGGGCGCCGCGGCGGCTGAAAGTGCGCGTGGGGAGGCAGTGCAATTGGACGCGGAGTACCCAGCACGCAGCGTGTGCAACGACAGGAAGGTCATCACCGTCCAGCCGCCAACGGGCATCAAGGTAAAGGCGCCACGCCGGCGTGTTCCGAGCTCTCGAGCATGGCGTAGACGAGCGCACGAAACCACTGGCACATGTGAACCGCAGGAGCTTCAAGATCATTGAGCGCGAGGCACGGGTGGCCCCGTGTGCTTCCAAGCATACTGAGAGAGCGCGGATCCCCAACCGCACAGGCGGATTGCAATTCTTGCTGGGTGGGGAGCGCGCTGGCGTGTTGGCCGCAATGGAACACATTAGTAACGAATGTTGGGAGGACAAGCGCCAGTGCATCAAGGCGGCTTGCACTCTTCAGGGAGCCGGTCCAGATTTACTCGTGCCACATGGGATGTGCTCCTTCAAAGGGTGGGCTCAAAAAAGGCAGGGGTATATCTATGGTGGCATTAACTGCTGGTGCGTGGACGAGTTCCATCGACCGAATCACAAGCACGACTGCCCTGCCGCCACGTCACATCTGCTGCCCAGAAGCGTCTCGGCAAGACTAACATGTCGTGCACAAAGCAGTTCAACTCCATCAGGGGCTTCAGCGTCTTCGTGAACAGCTTGTGCCTATGCTCTCATCGCCTGTGGGTGAAGGAAATCATGTGCCACTGGAACAACCGCACGGGGAGTATCAGAGGCACCACGATTCTCCGAAAGCGCCGCAATGCAGCTCAACGGGCGGCGACCAAGAGGGTCATCATGAAGAGGCCCGCGCGCACCACTTTTTTCGGCAAATGCTGCAAGACCCAGAAGGCCGTCATAAAGAAGCCCGCGCGCTATTGAGTAACATTTGTTCCTGGGCTTAGGCACGCCTTACTCGGGCATTGTAGCCGCTGTGTGTAGTGGGGCTTCGGATACAGGGGGATCTCTGAAGTGCGCCTCAGATTTCCGAGGGAAGAAAAAAAACACTTCCACCTCCTCTCTCTCTCTCTCTCTCCGCTGCTCTCTTTAAATATTGCATCGGTTTTTTTTAGCACCTCAGGTGCTCACAACGTTCCGTGTCGCATGTATCTCCTCCTCCCGAACCTGGCTGGGCGGCCGGGCAGGACACCAACGATAAACTGTCAACCTGGCTACCGCTGGGAAGCCTCAGGAAGCTCTGCGGCGAAGAATTTAATATAGAGAGTCAAACGACCTTGCAAAGACCCCCTGCCTAATAACACCCGAAGACAAAGAACGCCAACGCGTGCTGCTTTCAAGTTCCAATACGAAACCAACTACGTACTTCAAGTCTGCCGAAATTGAACCTGAAGCAGCGACCGTGAGACTGGCACCTTACAAAACCTAAGGCCTAAGGCACACTACGTGTACTGAAAATATGAAATGTGTGTCTGCACCGAGTAATCCTGGGCATGCTCAACAAAATACTGCAAACTGGCGCCGTCGATCCGAGAGGGCACGGCAGGTTATTCGTGGTGGTGCTCAAAAAAATAGACGGGAACAAAGCCAGAAATTGAAGACCGATGGCCATCTTGCGGACTCAGTTGGTGCACGAACGGCAGACAAGACAACTTGAACTAAAAACAGCCGCTTGACCAAGTAGACTTCTGGAAAATGCACTCAACCAATGATGTTTTGCAGTGCTGGTGAACTTGTGCGGCTAATATTGGGAGTGGAATGTACCATGCTGGGTCGCAAGCCGTGGTCTAAAGAAAGCGGTGATCCCAATTGAAGATGCTGCTCTGTTTGAATTTCTGCGCGACCAAGGCGTGGGCCAGTCGTACGTAACTCTACTTGCGGTGCTGTACACTCATCGAAGGGGCCAGATGCAGGGCTAGCAGCGCTTCGCCATCAACAGAGGCGTCAAGCAGGGGGATGTCATCAGCCCCATGCTGTTCAGCGCTGGCCTGGAGCTTGCACTTTCACGGCGGAAACGTTATCTTGACAATCGCGGTCTTAACGTGGGCGGCGCGTCTGGCGAGGACCTTACCAACGTCTGGTACGTCGACGATGCTATTGATTACTCTACATCCTGCAGCGAACTGAACGAAACTATGAACTCCTTGATTCTTCACGCGCTGAACTTCGCAAGGTTGGCGTGCACTCAATGCTTCGAAAACAAAGGTCTTGACGCAGCGCCGCCGTATGTCGAGATCGGCGGTGACATGGTCGAAACTTTGCTTGGGGTCGAGACTCACTTATATTTGGGACGGAAAATGCCAGGGTCTTTGCGGCAGCGTGCTGACGTCGAATTGTCAAACCGGTTCCAGGCCGCCTGGGGCCAGTTCCACAAGCTTAGGGGCATTCTCACAGACAAACAGATTTCCATACATCGCCGCCTCAAGCTCTGCGATTTAATCGCGACGCCTACAATGTTGTTTGGTTTGCCAACACTTGCTTTGACGAAGCGCGAGAAAGAGCGGTTGGGCGTTCTTCAGCGATTCATGCTGCGTCTGATTGTAGGTTGGGTGCGGATTGACGGCGAGGATTGGAACATTACGATGCGCAGAATGAATACCCGGGTTGACAGAGCACGAAGAGCTGACCTGGTTCAGAGCTGGCGGAAGCGGCTGGCCCATCTACAATACAGCTTCGCCGGCCAGCTTGGGCAGAAACCTGACAACTGGTCGCACCGGGTATCAAGTTGGAGCCCGCCCGCCACCTATGCAAGAGCACGGCGGGAGAGAGGAAGTTCAGCATGTCGTTGGGACGATGTCTTACAGAGGTACTCGCTGGCACAATCTGGAGAGACATGACTCGTCGCCGTCCGGGACCGAAGGAAGTGGCGTGCGCAGGCTGACGGATACGAGCAAGAATTCTGACATCAACTACGCATGCGATGTTCCAACTCCCCACGTGAATTCATTCCTCTCAGCCCACGTCTGGGCCTTGCTTCTGCTGAGCCGGTTTCGGACCGATTCGATTCAACCGGGCCTTGCTTGCGCAGTCTCGCCCAAACCGCCCACCGGCCATCACAGCTTCTCACCGAGTCGGGTCGGCCAACTGGCTGCACCATGCACCCCGTTTCCTCTCGAGCACCTAGCGAGAAGGGCCCCAGAGTGCTGATGCTCCCTAGCGATCTGTGCCCGAGAAGCCCAAGATGGCTTCGTCGACGGGCCAACAAGGCTGCCAAGATGATGCGCAAGAGCCCTCGAAGACGCGGCAGAGGACCCCAAGAGGCCCCGAGAGACGCCCAAACAGGTTCCAGAGCTGGGCCCCCCAGACCTCCAACACCACCGAAGCACGCTCCCACTTTGCAAGCTGTGAGGTAATCCAAAGGTACTGACGGTACCGATACCGCCACTCCCCGGACCTCGCCCGGGGTGCGTTCTGACCAGAATGTCGAAGGGAATCCAACGGTGGCGAAGGGGGCCTCTCAGGAGGTCGAAAAAGGGGAGAACGGGAAAAGGGTAATTAGCGGTATGGGTGCCCTTTCCTCCTCTGGATCTGGGATGCCCAAGAGGAGACGAGCCCAGAACGGTTCCGACAAAGCTCGGCACAGCCACACATGGAGCCCAAACGATCGGGGCGTGCCTGGCCAGGTGTGCAGCTGTCGATGCTCTCCTGCGCCCCTCTGGGAAGGGTCCCGCGGAGCGGTGAGCCGCACGGGCCCCTCGCATCGGGCGTGCCAACGGCACCGCTTGCCCCTGCGCTCTGGAGGTGTCCCACGGAGTGGTGAACCAAGCAGACCCTTTCAGATCTGGCCCCTTAGGGGGTGATGCCGGGCATGCACCGAAGCGAAGAAGAAAGGGACGGGCCTCACGCGAGATGGCATGGCGACCTCACGCGGTTGCGTAACTACGCGGGCCGCCAGCGCGGCACGCTACGTTGGAGACGGGGGCGCCTACTCGCAAGCTTGCGCGGGGAGCTCACGCGGCATGTCGGCGCAGTCGGCCCCATTTCCTTCTCTGGCGCTCCTCCGTCGCCGCCTCCCTCTGCACCTGGGGGGGGGGGGGGCCTTCCTCTGCCCCCCCCGCGCCCGTGATTACCCCGCGGAGCGGTGACCCCGTGCAGGCCATCTGGCAACAGGGGATATTGAGGGGGCCCTGGGACACACAAATAATTGCACGCAAAGAACAGCATTCCCCATATTTTCCTATATTTTCGAAATGTTCGTCTTCCCCCCTCTTCCCATATTTCTCATATTTTCTGGGGGAATCGACGATTCATTGTGCCTGTGTGCTTCTTTCCCTCCTGAGATGTGTCCACCCCTATCCCGGGCCTCGTGGGGGTTCGGGTGGACCAGCCATTCGGGGGCCCAGCTCTGGGAGTTCTACGAGAGGGGGTGGGGGGGGGGGGGCGGGCGTCCTCGACGGGGGGGTGCGTCCGCACATCGCCCCCCCCTCTGGGGGTGCCTCCCGGGGCCTCTCCCTCCCCTCTCTTGGCCGCCGCAGTCTTCGTCGAGGCGCCCGGGGGGTCGGGGCAGAGGCACCGCCTGCCACCCTGGGCCCTGCCCGCCGTGAGTGCTGCCGAATGTACGCCTGGCGCTTTTGTTTGTGGTTTGTACTGCTGGCTTTTGCAATATCATAAAATTGGGGGGGGAACAGCAGTTCCTATCGAGACGCGATGTCCGAGCTAGGTCCTAACAGGCATTTCGTGGGCGGCGCAACCACGCAATGCAGACACCCCTCTGGCTGGAGCGCCCCTGGGGTCCAGCGGAGCCGGGCATCACACGGGCGCCAACGAGGTCCGCCCCACCCGGGTGTTGCCGAACGTCTCCCCGTGGGCTGGGTCCTTCCCTGGGGTCACGCGGGTGATGATACAATGAAACCGTGGGCTCCGTCAGAGCAGCTTCAGCCAATTACAGTGGAAACCGATGCCAAGAGACACCCTGCTTGCCTCCAGGGTGCCCTGGGTTTCGTGGGTTTCGCTGGTTTTGCTGTGGGAAGCGTGACGTTCTCACACCAGAAATTAAAGGACGTCCTGGGGTCTCAGGGTAGGGGTTCTTGTTGAAGGTTTATTGTGGTCGAGCTCCGACTCTAAGGCACAAACGTGACTGGCAACATCGTGGGCCCACAGAGCGGATTTGAGAACACGGTTGAATACCACGGTGAGCACACATTACAAACTATCTGGAACCATGCTCCCGAAGAAGGGGCTGAAGCAACTGACTGGACGAAGTTCTGAGGTTCTCGGATTGCGATACCCTCCAGTCGAAGTGTATTCAGACCACCGCGAAAACGAGCGCAGTCGACTCCACAGCCGCATCAAACGAATACAGCCCCCCTCAATTGAATGAGTTCAGAATGCTGCACATGATGTCACAACCTCAAAGACGGATCCCACAGGATCGAAGGCGTCCCCAAACACATCATGTCAAAACATGTCAGAGGCTCGACGATATCACCAAGAGGCTCCCTGACGAGAACAGGACTTTCCGACATTCTCGCCTCTGGAACTTCTCGCCCGTGGGGGTCCGGAAGGGGTCTGAGAGCCCACAGAACATGTCACAACCACTCACCTACAGAAAGCCCAGGACGGCCCCAAGAGGGCCTCAAGACAAGGACACACCGCCCCAAGATGCCTCTGCCGAGCTGCGCCGGCACAGCCCGGTAGAACCGGCGCGCCCAAGACGGCCCCCCGAGACGACCAAACGCTCCCCGACAGGCCGCGAACTTTATCTCAAGAGGGTCCTCAGAAGCGGCAGCGGACCCATAGAAATCCTGAAAATGTCCCCACGACGCCTCTGAGAGGGAGGTTGGACGAGTGGAGGAGGAAGGGAACCCAACCGAGGCAAGTTCACGCAGAGGCTGTTCCAACAGGGTGGCGTACGCAACGGGAGAACGCGGGCCGTGACGATGACGCTCTGCACGGCGACCGCTCCTCTGTTTTACTGCAGCGCCAACTGCAGGACCCATCCGCAGCATCAGGCCCTGGCGACACACAGAGGGGAGCGACGACGACGACCGCGACATGGGAGGGGAGCAGGACGGAGGAGGCAGCTCCGCGGGCACTACGGCCCTTAGGCAGAGGAGCCAAACATGTACAAACATACTTTCTCAGAGGTCCGCGCGGATGTCTTCGATCGGCGACGGTCCCCCATCCCTGGCGCGCGGAGCGCGCCAGGGGCGGCGCCGGAGGCGCCACCTAGGGGGCCCAACGCCGATCCAAGCAATCCGCGCGGACCTCCGAGAGGTTGTGCTTGTGCTCCTGCTTGCTCTTCGATCGGGGGCGACCTCCCCCGTCTCAGAGCCTGGCAGGGGACCGCCTGCCGCGCGCGGTGGTCGTCTGCATCAGCAGCATGTCCACCTCCTTCGGCAGCACGCCCCCGTCCTTGCGCAGGGCCGCCAGCTCCTCGGCCGTCATGGTGTTGCGGCGGTTGTTGGCGAGCCCGAATGCGACCTTTGACGGAGCCAGGGCCGGGCCAAAACCAGACCGGGGCAAGTCGGGGATCTCTGAGGCCCAGCGGTTCTGGAGGATGCATCGGGCACCCTGGAACGACCAGATCCTGTTCCTGGCCCCGCCCAGCGACCCGAGGCTGCCCCCAGTCGAACACCGTGTAGTAGCGATGCAGCACGGGCTCCCCGAGGATGAACAGCTTGGGGCCGAGGGGCGCTGGCAGCCGCACGGGCATGAGGCGCGGCCGGCAGTAGCGCCGCACCTCCGCCTCTTCCTCTGCGGTCCGGTTGGCTGAGGCGTTGGCTGAGGCGTCAGCAGTCGCGTTGGCGCTGGCGCTCACGTTGACGTCCTGGCTCCCATTGGCAGTCGCGTTTGCCTGGAGGGGCACGGCGTCCGCGGAGGATCGGTGCTCCAGGGTCGCATTCGTCTCGTTCGAGGGGATGTATACGCCCTGCTTGGAGCCGACCGTCACGCCCTCGCGGAGCGGGAGCCGTCGCATGTAGTTGAAAGAATGCAGCGTCAGGTTGTAGCCTTCAACCTCGATCTCAATCGCTGGCGACTCTGCGAGGCGACAATCCTTCAGCTGCCCCGCCGGGACGGTCAGCAGGTCGGCCACCTCCGCGTCGTAGGGCGCAGGGACGCCCAGGTGCGAGGTACCGGTGTCCACCACACCGCGGCAGGTACCATCCCTGCACACGTCTAGCTCCTGGCCGTTGATGCGGACGGCGACGATCTTCACCAACCAGTACCCCATGTCGGCCATCACGACCGGCGACCATGTCAGCGGCTCGAGCACGCGGTTCGGGTTGTGCCCGCCCATTGCGATCTCGTTGTCCTCGCCGTCCTCACCCTCGGTCAGGAAGACACCAAAGTGTGGGCGCCCGACCTTCCTCTCGCCCATGAGGATGTCCACGGCGCTGAACTTGTCGCTGAGCGCGAGCCCGTCCAGGCTCAGCCCGAGGATGCCGTCGAAGAGGAAGGACTTGAACGGCTGCGTGGACATCTCCACCGCGAGCACCACGTGCATGTCCACGCACAGCGCGCCCGGCGGGTGCCCGACCTCCGCGCGGGCCGCGAGCGCCGCCGCCTCGGCCGCGCTCCTCGCGCCCCCGTGCGCGGGCTCCTCGTGGCCGCCCGCGCCGCCCTCGGCGGCGTCGGCGCCCGCGCCCGCGCCCGCGGGGGCCTCCGCCGCCGCGCGCGCCGCGGACTCGTTCAGCACGGCGTCCGTCTGACTCAGGACGATCGGGTCGCCCGCTGACGCCTCGGGGGCAGCGCCTCCCTCGGCGGCCGCCTCGGCGCCCTCCGCCTCGGAGCCCGCTCCGCCCTGGCCCTGGCCCTGGCGCTGGGCCTCGGCGTGGGGCTGGCGCTGGGCCTTGGCGGCCTCGGCCGCGGCCGCCGCGTCGGCCCGAGCCGAGGCCTTCGCCGCGGCCTCGGCGTGGGCCTTCGCCACGTAGTCGTCCGGCAGGTTGAAGCAGACGGTGTCCTTGACGAACTCGCCGGTGATCTCCCCTGTGCCGAAGCCGATGGTGACCTGGTCGCACAGATCCCCGGCCGGGACCACGGAGCCGTCCGTGTTGATGGGCAGCGAGGTGCTGGAAGCGCTCATGTTGTAGCGCCGGTGGACCAGGCACGACTCGCTTCTGCACTCTGCGGCTGGCAGCACCACGTGGGCGGACCCCGTGTCGAACACCACTCGGAAGTCTTGGGGAGGGTTGCCCACGTGCAGGACCCCGGAGTATGAGGTCTTGAACGAGGCCACCTTGCCACGACGATAGATGGGCACCGACTCGCGGCGGAGGTTGATGAGGTGGGGAGTGCCCCCGTCGTCCGGCAGCCCCTTCTCCAGCAGTGCCCCAGGCGTCTGCAGCAAGCTCACGCCCTCTGTGGCAGCGCCTGCGAGCTCCTCCGGGGGGGCGTCGCGCAGGTCGCCAGCAGCTGCGGGGCTGCCCCTGGCACCTACGCGCTCCGCCCCCGCTGCGACCAGCGCCGCGGCGATCAGGAGGGTGCCGAGGGGGCGGGTCCAGCAGGCGCAGTCATGGGAGGACGATGCTTTGGCAAAAGGCCCCATTCTTGCTGTCAGTATGGACAAAACGGATGAGCGCCGGAAAGATTGACCTGGCGCTGAACTGCGCTACCGATTGGTTTGTCTGGTATTGCTGAATAGTAGTCGAAGGGAATCGTAAACCTAGCAGGACCTGAGCCAACGTGACCGCGGAGAGGTGGGAAGAGCGCACTCCGCTCTTGGCGCAAGGAGAGGGGGGGGGAATACGAGAAGGAGACGGAGGAAGCAGGGCGAAGGGGAGGAGGACGAGGCTGAGCACAAGGAGAGGCGATCAAAACCCGCGCCAGCTCAGACCGGGCATCCCCTTCCCTGCTGCGCTGCTGCGCTGACACACCGGCAACAGGCCGCACACAGACCCCCTGCCCCCGCAGGAACGGCCAAGAGGGAGGGTGGGGGGTCGCCGGCAGCCTATACGACAAGAACGACGACGACGGCGACGACGACACCTCCGTGTCCTTCACGCCCGCTCGCAGAGGGAGGGTGGGGGGTCGGCGGCAGCCTACGTATACGACAGGAACGACGACGGCGACGACGACACTCCCGTGTCCTTCACGCCCGCTCGCAGGGAGATCCCAGCCCTGCCCCCGGGGGGCAGCTCCCCATCCCGGCCCAACTCTTGATGGCCCCAAGGCCCGATGACGGGCCCCAGGGTCCATCACCGATTGGGAAAGGCCCAGACTGAGGAGGAGGAGGAGGAGGAGGAGGAGGAGGAGGAGGAGGAGGGAGGAGGACGGAAGGAGGAGGAGAGGACGGAAGGAGGAGGAGACGCGGGGACCGCCTCGTCAAAGTGAGGACCCAACACCACGGGATGGCTGGGAAAGACATGTCGTCAGAGCTCTGGGCCTCGGGCCCCCGACCAGCTCGTCCTCTCTCTCTCTCTCTCTCTCCCTCTCTCTCTCTCTCCCTCTCTCTCTCTCTTTCCCCCAGGCGTCGTCTCGCGGGGGCTGCGGCGGTGGCGGCAGTCGCCTGGCGTCAGCGTCTCCGCCGTCGGGCTCCAGGTACGCGTAAAGAAGCACGCACCTCACATGCTCCCGCTCCCACTCCCCACACGTCCTCCTCCTCCTCCTCCTCCTCCTCCTCCTCCTGCCCATCCTCCACCTTCTGATCCTCCTCCCTCCTCCTGCTCCTCCTCCTCATCCTCCTCCTCCTCCTCCACTCCTCCTCCTCCTCCCCTCCTCCTCCTCCTCCTCCTCCTCCTCCTCCTCTCCTCCTTCCTCCTCCTCCTCCTCCTCCTCCTCCTGCCCATTCCTCCACCTTCTCATCCTCCTCCTCCTCCTGCTCCTCCTCCTCCTCCTCCTCCTCCTGCCCATTCCTCCACCCCCTCCTCCTCCTCCCGCCTCCTCCTCCACGTGCGCTTGGGAGGCCGCGCGGCCGCCACGCGGCACACTTCGAAGCGGCTGGCAGGAGCGAGCCTAGACTTAGGGACGGCAATCTCAGCCAAACCGCGACTGCTGGCGCACAATATTTACACTTACCCTAAATACTCCAAACGGTTTTCACCAGGCATGTCGAAATACACCAAACATTCAACATGCACCAAACATCCCACATGAAATTCATATGACAACTCAAACTCAAGCTCGAATTAAGTGAACACCCAACCAAACGTATAATACATCTTAGCTTAAGTATCCTGACGAATAATCCAACCATATGAAGTTGTGAGTAACGCGTTGTGGGTGCGGCTTTCGGTGGAGCTACTCATGGAACCACGAAGCGCGTGAGGGACGTGCCGTAATGGGTGGGGGACACGCATGCGGGCGGTGCCACTCGGGCCTTTGGTCGGGCTCCCTATGGGGCCACGAAACGCTGTACTGGGTGTGGCGGACGCATGTGGCCACCCCCACTGGGGCCTTCGGTCGGGCTCCCCATGGGGCCACGAATCGCTGTACTGGGTGTGGCGGACGCATGTGGCCACCCACACTGGGGCTTTACGTGGAGCTCCCTATGGGGCCACGAAGCGCTGTACTAAGTGTGGCGGACGCACGTGGCCATCCCCACTGGGGCCTTGGGTTGATCTCCCCATGGGGCCACGAAGCGCTGTACTGGTTGTGGCGGACGCATGTGGCCCCCCCCCACTGGGGCCTTGCGTGGAACCCGCTATGGGGCCACGAAACGCTGTATTGGGTGTGGCGGACGCATGTGGCCACTGACACTGGGGCCGCAGGTGGAGCTCCTTATGGGGCCACGAAGCGCTGTACTGGGTGTGGCGGACGCACGTGGCCACCCCCACCTGGGCCGCAGGTGGAGCTCCCTATGGGGCCACGAATCGATGTATTGGGCGTGGCGGACGCATGTGGCCACCCCCACCTGGGCCGCAGGTGGAGCTCGCTATGGGGCCACGAATCGCTGTATTGGGTGTGGCGGACGCATGTGGCGACCCCCATTGGGGCCTCAGGTGGAGTTCCCTCTGGGGCCGCGAAACGCTGTACTGGGTGTGGAGGACGCACGTGGCCACCCCCACGGGGGCCTTAGGTGGAGTTCCCTATGTGGCCACGGAGCGCTGTACTGGGTGTGGCGGACGCACGTGGCCACCCCACACGGGCACTTGGGTGGAATTCCTTGGGGGCCACGAAACGCTGTACTGGGTGTGGCGGACGCATGTGGCCACCCCCACTGGGGCCGCAGGTGGGGTTCCCTATGGGGCAACGAAGCGATGTGCTGGGTATGGCATACGCATGTGGCCTTCCCCCACTGGGGTTTTACGTTGAGCCCCCTATGGGGCCACAAAGCGCTGCACTGGGTGTGGCGGACGCATGTGGCCACCCCCATTGCGGCCACGAAACGCTGAACTGGGCGTGGCGGACGCACGTGGCCACCCCCACTGGGGCCTTACGTGGAACTCCCATGGGGCCACAAAGCGCTGCACTGGGTGTGGCGGACGCATGTGGCCACCCCCACTGGGGCGTTGCGCGGAGGCCAATGTGGCCACGAAACTTTGTACTAGGTGTGGCGGGCGCGTGTGGCCACCCCCACTGGGGCCCTGGATTGGGCTCCCCATGGGGCCACGAAGCGTTGTACTGGGTGTGGCGGACGCACGTGGCCACCCCCACTGGGGCCGCAGGTGGGGTTCCCCATGGGGACACGAAGCGCTGTACTGGGTGTGGCGGACGCACGTGGCCACCCCCGCTGGGGCTTAACGTGGAGCTCCATATGGGGCCACGAAACGCTGTACTGGGTGTGGCGGACGCATGTGGCCACCACCGCCGGGGCCGCAGGTGGAGCTCCTGTGGGGCCACGAAATGCTGTACTGGATGTGGCGGGCGCATGTGGCCACCCCCACTGGAACCGCAGGTGGGGCTCCCTATGGGGCCACGAAGCGCGCTGTACTGGTTGTGGCGGACGCATGTGGCCCCCCACCCACTGGGGCCTCAGGTGGAGTTCCCTATGGGGCCACGAAGCGCTGTGCTGGGCGTGGCAAACGCATGTGACCACCGCCACTGGGACCGCAGGTGGAGCTCCCTATGGGGGCCACGAAGCGGTGGCCTGGGTGTGGGGGGGGACGCACGCGGCCAGCCCCGCTGGGGCCTTACGTGGAGCCCCCTATGGGTCCACGAAACGCTGTACTGGGCGTGGCGGACGCACGCGGGTGTTGCCACTGGGGCCTCGGGCGGAGCTCCCCACGGGGCCACGAAACGCTGCACTGGGTGCGGCGGACGCATGTGACCGACCCTACTGGGGCCGTAGGTGGAGCTCCCTATGGGGCCACGAAGCGCTGTGCTGGGTGTGGCGGACGCACGTGGCCACCCCCACCTGGGCCGCAGGTGGAGCTCCCTATGGGGCCACGAAGCGTCGAAGGTACTGTGGCGGACGCATCTGGGCGTTGCCACTGGGGCCTTGGGTGGAGCTCCCTATGGGGCCACGAAATTGCTGAACTGGGTGTGGCGGACGCACGTGGCCAACCCCACGGGGGCCGCAATGGGAGCTCCCTATGGGGCCACGAAGGGCTGTACTCCGACCTATCGGCGAATCCCACGGTCGATCTCACCATCGATTTTCAAAGCAAAACGAGAACGCCCGCCGCAGACGCCGAGAGAAACGATTTGTTGCCGGACAACCACAGGACAACGATCGGCACAACCACCAGACAACCATCGGGACAATCACAAGACAACCGCGAGGCAACCATTGCATACAAGATTATACATGTCTCTCTCTGTCTCTCTCTTTTTCTCTCTCTCTCTCTCTCTCTCTCTCTCTCTCTTTCTCTATTTCGCTCTCTCTCTGTTGTTTTGTGTTGTTCTCTCTCTCTCTCTCTCTCTGTTTCTCTCTCTCTCTCTCTCTCTCACTCTTGTTGTTTTCTCTCTCTCTCTCTCTCTCTCTCCCTCTTTATATATATGTATGTATGTATGTATGTATGGATGTATGTATGTATGTATGTATGTATGTATCAGTCTCCCCCCTCCAGAACAATGATGGCAGTGACGATGGGTGATGGGTGCGGCGGCGCTGACAGCAGCGATGGCGGTGGCAACCCTGATGCTTACATGTTTTGAGCACCCCACTTGAGTCACCACGGCGGCGGGGAGCGCGACAGACTGCCCCTCAGCGTGTTCGGCGTGTCGCTGTGGTCAGCAGCGACCGCCTCGGCGCGCGGCGGAGGCTCGGCGCCCAGACAGTCACTGGCAGAGCCGAGCCTGGTGCCACTGGCGCCAGATGATCACTTGCACTGGCAGAGCCTGGTGCCAGTGGCGGCACGTCCTGGAGGGTTCCTCCGTGACCCCTAATTAATGCCGTCCGCGCCGTTGGGCTTGGAGTCAAACTCGGGGTGGTGCTGGATGAAGAGTTCCAGCCCGCCCGGCTGGAGCAGCTTGTTGAACTCGGCATAGACCCGCTCGTCGCCGGGTTGGCGGCCCATCTTTTTATGTGATATTGCAGACGGGCCGAACTCGCCGCCATGCGCTTGCAAACAACGGCGGACCAGGTCCACCACACGCGCGTCTGCGTCCAGCCCGGACGCCTCCGCGCAGGCATCCTACGAGCGCGCCCGAATGTAGACTGGCAGAGCCGGGTGCCCCGTACCCACGCCCGACAGCCCCGCCACCAGGTCATCTAAGGGGATGTCCCAATGCGCTGGGCGGAAGAGGAACTCCGACGGCGAAATGCTGACGAGGCTAGCAACGGCACGGAGGCAAGCGACCTCGGATGCCTCATCTGACGTGCTGCCATCTCCATATGTCACGAGTCTGCGGCCGTCTCCGGCGGCAAAGCTGTTGGGCATGTGCAAGGTGCACCGCCAATCAGCATTGGCATTGCCTGGTGCGTGTGATTGGTAGTTTTTGCACGCCTTAATCGAAGGCACGACTGGCCCGCCGTATGGCTTTGGGCGAGTGGACGCGTGGCTGTTCAACACGACGTGCCATGAGATGCTGCGGACGTGGTGCTCCAAGAGGTACGCTTCGACAGCCATGGCGCGCCCCTCGGGGCTGCGCAGGCTGGCAGAGCCTGGCCCCTGGAAGCGCGTTTCCGCCTCGGCCCGTCGGCGCGTGACTGGGCGTGTCGAGCAAGCTGGCCAACAATTAGAGCCGACGCTGACTGAACCGGCGCGCGCGGAGGGGACGTGCAATGATGGCAAATGCACCAGGGCGGGTTGCCTGGTGGGGCGCCCCGACTCCCATTCCGACGAAACGTCCTCGATCGGGTCACTCGGACCATTTGATGGGCCCTCGATGGGGTCACCGTCCTCCCCCTCGGCGGGTGCGTCGCATGTCCACACGCGTATGCTTCGGCTACGGGCCCGATGTGCCATGCGGCCCTCGAGCGCGCCCCAGCTGGCAGAAGCTGCGCCGGCTGCGCTGCGCCGGCTGCGCTCGCAGAGCTGGCAAAGCCTGGCTCCTGGAAGGTCCCAAGTCTGCCTGTATGGGCGGCGCGACCGACGCGGGCGGGCCCGGCTGGCAAATTCTCTTGGAGGCGCCATTGCTTCGGCGGGCGGGGAAGCCTGGTGATGAGCACGGGCCGGCGGAGGCACGAGCAGCAGGCATGAGGCATCGGCGCGACAATGTGAATGCAACAGTGAAACCATGGAACATCATGGAAGAGTCGAATCGTTGCTGGTGGAAGATGGCGCTGATGGAACGACACAAGCATGGAAAACCACAATCCTCGCGCAGGTGGATAGTCAGTGGCGGGCATGAGAGCAAGCGGCAGCAGCACGCAACAGCGGCCGGGAGGCAAGCAGTACCCACCACATGCCTCCTTTTTACCAAAGCGCCCCGCTCACCCAAACTAGAGCGCGCGGTGGTCAGCGGGCCCACTCACGCGCACGAGCTGGCGGGGCTGGTGCTGGCAGAGCCTGCGCCGTGGCTCTCTCGTTCTGACGACTCGGCCCGCTCATCAAAACTAGAGCGTAGTGGTCAGCGGGCCCACTCACACGCACGCGCTGGCGGGGCTGGTGCTGGCACTGCCTGGCGCCGCGACTTTCTCCTTAGGATTGCCAGGTCGGCCATCGCCTGCACGGACGCGATCGGGGGGAGCGGTTCCGATATCATGCGCCTGACTTTCCGCGAGCGCTCCCCCGACCAGTACTCGGTTAAATTGGTGGATTGGCTGGGATGGGGCGGAATTGGATGGGAAAACATGGATTCGATAAGATAAGATGGGTTGGACTGGAAGAAATGCATTGGATAAGATAAGATGGATTGGGTTGGCCCGCCGCAGGCGCAGCAACAAATGAATTGATGGATTGGGGTGGGTGGATTGGATTGGGTGGGATCAGATAAGATGGGACAAATGGGTTGGATAAGATAAGATGGATTGGATTGGACAAGATGAATTGAATAAGATAACCTGGATTGGATAAGAAAGCCCGCCGCAAGAGCGGGAAAACTGATTTATCAAATTAGCGACATGCGTTAGCGCCGGGACGCCCGGGACACCCGGGACACAGCCCGGCCCAACTGGGACACCTCCCGGCCACCATCGAACGGGAATGGGACTTTCGCTCCTACTGACACCCGGGACACCCGGGAGACCGCCCGGCCCAACTGGGACACCTTCCAGCCACTGGCGGACGCGAACGGACTTCGTTCCTACTTCGGCCTTGCTACAGGAGGATCACGCGCAGCTTCGCCTCGCCCGCACGCACAACACGAACACGAAACCGAAACCGACTTCCCGGTGGGGGGTCTCCGTTCACTGCGGTCTAACCCCCAACCTCCGATTCAACGAAAAAAATATTCACTGCGTGGAGCTCCCCATATGTGCATCTATTTGCATGGACTGAGTGTGAGTGAGTCTGAATATGAACGTACGAGTCTGAGCACAAGTGAGTCTGGGACATCCTCGCGATCTGCCCCCACCTGGGGTGCGAAAGCCAGTGAGTCTGAGTATGAGTATAGTGAGTACGAGTCTAAGTCTGAATGGGTCTGAGTACGAGTGAGTTTGACTACGAGTGAATATGAGGGTTCGTGGGCATGAGTGTGAGTGATTCTGAGCGTGAGTAAATCTGAATGTGAGTGCGTCTGAGTATGAGTATGATGGATATGAAACTGGCCCTGAGTGGGTCTGAGTACGAGTGAGTCCGACTACGAATGAGTCTGAGGGTGGGTGGGTCTAAGTGTGAGTGAGTCTGAGTGTGCGTAAGTCTGGGTGTGAGTGAGTCTGCGTATGAGTACGATGAGTGCGAGTCTGAGTATGAGTGAGCCTGAGCACGAGTGAGTTGGAGAATAAGTGAGTCTAGGACATCCTCAAAATCTGGACCCTCTGGGAGTGCGGACATCAGCGCCTCGCCATAGACATCCTCAGAATCTGTTTTGACAGCAGACGAGTCTAACCACCAAAACACGCAAACCGCTTGAGACGACCTCAAAATGTGGCCCCACTGGGGTGCGAAAACAAAAGCCTCGCCTGAGACATCCTCAGGATCTGCTCCGAAAGCAGAGGATGCTGAGGACCAAAACAGGCAAACCGCCTGAGACATCCCCGCCATTTGGACGCGAACGGAGGCCGTGCAATACCCCTGGCGGGCCCCCCCTTGGATTGCTAAAACCAGCAAGCCGCCTGAGACATCCTCAGAATCTGCTCCGAAAGCGCAGGATGTTGAGGACCAAAACAGGCAAACCGCCTGAGACATTCCCACCATTTGGGCGCGAACGGAGGCCGTGCAATACCCCTGGCGGCCCCCCTTCGGAGTGCTAAAACCAGCAAGCCGCTCGAGACATCCTCATCATCGGCTCGTCATCATCATCATCATCATCATCATCATCATCATCATCATCATCATCATCATCATCAGCATCATCATCATTATCATCATCATCAGCGGCAGCATCATCATCATCATCATCACCACCATCATCATCATCATCATCATCATCATCATCAGCAGCATCATCATCATCATCACCATCGTCATCGTCATCGTCATCATCATCATCATCATCATCAGTATCGTCGTCGTCATCATCATCACCACACTCCTCCATAATTCACCACCACCTTCATACTCACACCATACTCTGGGAGGAGGGGAGGGGTGGTCCGGCGCGGTCGGAGAATAACAAGAACCCCATCCTTTGGATATGGGGAAAAAGAAAATTCGACTTCCCAAAAACCAAATTAATAATTCAAAATCCAAACGCGATTCAAAATGAAATTCCCCAATCAATGCTTGCACTGAAGGGGTCCTTGCGGAAGTTGAAGACTTGCAGAACAAATCCCGCCGAATTTGGTGGCAGGCTGGGTTCCGGGGTTCCCGGTTCTGGGTTCCCTGGTTCCCGCTTCCGGGTTCCGGGCCGATTTCGGTGGGCGGCGAGGTTCCCGGGTTCCTGGGTTCCTGGTCGATCTTCTCATCGATCGGTCTAACCATCGATCTCATTAACTACCTCTCCATCGATCTCACCATCGATCTCACAATCGATCACACGATCGATCTCACAAGCGATCTCACTAGAGATCGCACGAGCGATCTCGCGATCGATCTCACTATCGATCTCGTTGAATCGATTTCACTCTCGGTCTCACGATCGACCTTAAAATCGTCTTCAGTATCGATTCCACTATAGATCTCATTATCGATCTCACAATCGATCTCAGCATCCATGTTACTAATAATCAAAATCTTCCACTGATTGGGTTTTCTCAGGTGTATTTTTTGACAAAAAATGCGGCAAAATATCCGTGACCCCTGGGAGCCCCCAGGGCCCCCACCTGCCAACCCCGCACCAAGGGTTCTTGCGAAGCCCATGGCAGACAATCGGCGAATTCTTGTAAGCCCTGGGATGAGCTCCCGGGGTCCCACAGGGCTTCTCTCGACTTATGCTCCTGTCACGGCAAGGTCAACGCCGGCGGCGCCGCAAGGTGCGATGCGTGAAACTGAGGGCTCCAAGAGGGCCCGAAGAGGGGGCACACTGGAACACAAACACACACACACACACACACACACACACACACACACACACACACGCATACAACAAAAACACGCACACGCACACCTCGCTAGAGAGCTAACGCTTGCTCGAGGCTGCTCCATAGTTACGGTCTGGCGGGGAGGGGCCTACGGCCAGAAGGGAGATCCGCTGAATGGGGGGACAGTGCCACCTCCATGTATGTGTATGTATGCGCACATTGTGTTGCGTTTATACTTCGTATATATATACATACATACAAACATACATATGTACGAATTGCATACGTAAGTACATACAAACATATAAGTATACCAATGTTGAAATTGCACCGCGAGTAGATGCCCGTAGATATATAGCTAGGTTTGTGCAAATGTGTATAGATGTGTGTACAAATTGCATGGCAGACGCACGGTCACGATCACATCACTCGCGACCTGATCTGCTGCTATTTGTTTGTTGTGATTGTGATTTGAACGTGTGGCCTAATTCTTAAAGTATTGGGTATGCCCGCTGTTGCTTACGAATTTGAATTATGTACAGAATTTCGTGTTGATTGCTTCCAGTATTTCGAGGAGGACCTTCTTTCCTGACTGCCGCCCCTAAGCCTAGATGGCATGGAGGGTCAGCGAGAAGGTGGGTTGCGCGCCGTGGGGGGCGCTCGACCTGGACGCCTGTGGAGGCGCCCAGCCCTGCTCTTTCATGTGGCAGTGCCATGAACGTGGAGGGGCCTCCCCCGAGCTGCGGATGGTCAGCCAGTCCGACGGCACGGCCGCCGTGGACATCCCCGGTGTCCATTGCCATTGGCACGGTCCGCCGGGTCGTGAAGAATGCGCGCGAAATAAAAGAACGAGCGTGTGGCAAAGCCTGATAGCAGGGAGAGCCAGCTTACAACAACATCTGGTTATTCGAAAAATACGGGGGGGACCACGAAACTGGGGAGAGGGGAAGCGCTGAATGTTGACAGCTCGGCCGGCGACCCACCGCTTGTGGAGCGAAACGCGGCGTCACTTGACTTCGGCACGCGATTGACCACTTGCTCATCGGGTATGTGTCCCGTGATCCGCGCTTCCCTTCCCAACTTCTTGCCGTCGAAGGTTCACGCATGCAAGATGTCCACGCCTCAAGGATTGAACTTTCCATGTGTCTCTGTTCCGTTTACTACGTTTCGATGCTGTTCCTCCTGTGCCGTGTTTCGTGCCGTGTTTCGGCTGCCAGGGGACCCAGAGCCAGCCCCAGAAGCCTAGGATGGCGAAAGACTTGCCGTCTCCTCTCCCCCTCCATGGAGGGGGAGAGGGCCCTGCTGTTTCTCCTCCACCTCGTCCACCTCCTCCTGCTTTTCCTCCTCCTCCTTCCCCCTGCTGCCGCCCCTCCTCTTCTGCCAGAGCTTGTCCCCCTCCAGCGGAAGGGGTCCCGGTCGCCCCCCCGGGGCCCCCGGGCCTGGTCCGCGCACGCTGCCCTCGCGGCCGCAGGGCCCCCCCACACGAGCTCCCGCCGAGGGGGGAGCGGGTGCGCCGCGGAGGAGCTCCTCGACCTCGGCGCGTCGAGCGCAACAGGCGCTGGGAGTCGGACCCGGCCACGGCGACGAGGAGCCTCCCGAACGTCGAGCCCTCGACCTCGGCCGTCGAGCCTCGGCCCTCGAGGCCTCGCCCCCTCGACCCTCGAGCCCTCCTCGCCAACGGGGGGGGCGCCGAAGAGGGGGGGGCCGCGGAGGAGGGGGAGGGCCGGCGCGTCACGGCCCGAGGCGCGTGCGCGCGCGAAGGGGGGGGGCCCAGGGAACGACCTTGGAGGAGGGGGAGGGGGAGGAGGAGGAGGAGGAGGAGGAGGAGGAGGAGGAGGAGGAGGAGGAGGAGGAGGAGGAGGAGGAGGAGGAGGAGGAGGAGAGGAGGAGGAGGAGGAGGAGGAGGAGCAGCAGGAGCAGCAGGAGGAGGAAGGAGGAGGAGGAGGAGCCCTCCCCACCCGCCCTGCCTTCAGGGCTGAAAGCAGGGACGCGCGACAGGGATGCAAGCCCCTTGGACGCCCGTGCTGGAGCTTCCCCGAGCGGGGCTGGCCGTCGAAGGGGCTTCAGGGACGACCCGAGGAGGAGAGGATGCAAGGGTCTCCTTGAGAAGGTTGACCCATCCTTGCCACCGGTGTCGACTGCAAAGGGCAACGAAAAATGACATACACATAGAAACTCGGAGGTCCGCGCGGATTTCTCGGATCCGCGCTGGACCCCCCTCCCTGGCGCGCGGGGCGAGCCATGGGGCGGCGCCGCGGGTGTGGAGTCCAGCGCGGATCCCAGAAATCCGCGCGGACCTCCGAGCTTTTCTGTTTCTGTCATTGTTCGCTCCCTTACTGTGGTCCTCGCACCCCTCGTCGCCGCCCGCGGGCCTGCGCTTCGACGCTGCTCGTCCCGAGCAGCTCTTCGGCGGGCCCCCATGAGGAGGGAGGAGGGAGAAGTGAGGAGGGAGGGGGGGGGAGGGAGGGCCCCCGGTGGTGGCGAGAAGAGCCTGCCGCCCCCCGAGCGTCCCTCGAGCCGCCGGCCCCCCGACGTCCCTACCCCGCGGATCTGGGGCGAGGCCCCCCGGCCATGAGGCGAACGGGGCCCCCGGCCATGAGCTCCCCCCCCCCCCCTACTAGGGGAGCAAACAATGTCAAAAACATAAAAACTCTGAGGTCCGCGCGGGTTTCTCGGATCCGAGGGGAACAGACAGTGGCATAATCACAAAACAAAAACTCACCAATGACGATCATGCCATTCAAAAGCGGCATAAACAACGACATCACATGGCATAAACAATGGCATACATATAAACAATGACTAGGGGAACTAGGGGATCAAACAATGACACAAACGAGCTCCCCCCTACAGTGGTCTTGTGTCGAGGAACACAGAACTGGGGAAACGAACACTGACATCAGCACTAAAACGCGTTGGTGACGAGCATGCCATAATCAATGGCATAAAAAAACTACATAATATGGCATAAACAATGGCATGCATATGAACAATGACTAGGGGAACTAGGGGAAAAACAATGACACGAAAGAGTTCGCCCCCTACAGTCAGTCGTCGTGCTTCAGTGAGGAACACAAAACTGGGGGAGCATAAAATATCGGAGGTCCGCGCTGCTTCCTCGGATCCGCGCTGGGGCCCCCCATACGGTAGTCGTGCTTCAGCGAGGAACACAGAGCTGGGTGAACGAACGCTGACCTGGCCATCGCTCGGACGTCCATTCCCTGTGTTTTTTTCGGTTTCGTGCGTGGTTCTTTCGCCAAGTCATCAAGGATGCTCCTCGATGGTGCTCGCCGAAAGAAAAATCCACACGTCCGAGCGATGCCAAGTGACGTGAGCATGAAAGCTCGGAGGTCCGCGCGGATTTCTCGGACCCGCGCTCGGCCCCACCCCCGGCGGCGCCTCTGGCGCCGCCCCATGGCGCGCTCGCGCCAGGGAGGGGGGCCCAGTGCGGATCCGAGAAACCCGCGCGGACCCTCGAGTTTGTATGTGTATGTCACGGCTTTTGTTCCCCTGCGACAGTCGTCGTGCTTCCATGAGGAAGGCAGGATGCAGTCAAAACCGATAGCGAGGACGCAGGGTGAGGACGCAGGGGGCCCTGGAAGGTCATGCGGACACTTTTCGGGCGGGGCGCGGCCAACGGAAGTGGCCAAGGATGGGCCGCAGGGAAAGGACGCATGGGAACCCTTGGAAAGTCGCTCATCCTCACTATCAGTGCTGACTGCAAGTGACGAAGGGGCTTGTCTGGCCACGGCGAGCCTCGGCAACGGATAAGTCTGCCGACCTAGATTCAGGGAACGGCCAGAAAGCAAGAGCCCTTCGTAAACCCAAAGTGTGCGAGGCGAGGAATTGATTGTTCCTATCCACCGCCTGGGAAACCGATCTTCCTGGACCCCAGAAGGCGATGGGTACGGATTTCGTTGGGCCCCACGGGGGGCATAAATATGTATATATACACATCTATATATATGTATATATGTACACATATATATACACATATATATAGGTGTGTGTGCTTATAAATACAAACATACATACATACATACATACATACATACATACATACATACATACAAACATACAGACAGACAGACAGACAGACAGACAGACAGACAGACATGCATGCATAGAGACAGACAGACAGAGAGAGAAAGAGAGAGAGAGAGAGACAGACAGAGAGACAGACGGACAGACAGACAGAGACAGACAGACAGACAGTCATAGATTATATACACATGTGTATATCCATATTGGCCGCAAATCCACCGCCCGCTGGGGTCCCAGGTCATTGTTTCCCCGGGCGGTGGATGCGGGTAAATCTCCGCCCCGCAAGGCGGATCTTATTTCAACGTCTTGGACGTCCCCTATTGGACGCCCCCGAGTCATGATGGCCCCCCCACCCGCCGCGGGGGCCGGCCGGGGCGAAGGCAGCTTCAGGACGAGGTAGCCCACCACCACCTGGGGGCCGCGTCGACGGGTCGCGGGCAACCCCGCGGCCCTCGAGATCGGAGGAAGGGGGGGAGGAGATGGACATTGACGAGACAATGGCCAAGTCTCAAAGCGACCTGGGCAAGTTAAGAGACTAAGGCATTTGGAAAGGCTCACATGAATCTATCAGGAGACCAGGTCTCTGGCACGTCTCTCAGCTTGAGGCAGTACCTCTGGCCACAGCCTGGCATCGACCCGCAAAGGATATTCCCGGCTGGTGCTCATGAGAGCCCGCTGCGACTTCTGAGGAGCCGCATGAGGGAGGAAGCGAGAGAGAGAGAGAGAGAGAACAAAAAAAACAACAACAAAAAGAGAGAGAGAGAGAGAGGATGCGAACCACGGTAAACCCAGGAGCACCAAAGATGTTTAGAAGAAGGAACGAGAAGGAAAAAACATGTAAACATAAACTTGTGGCGGTGCGCGCGGATTTCTTAAATTTGCTCGGACCCCCCTCCCTGGCACGCGGGGCGCGCCAGGGGCGGCAACGGAGGCGCCGCCGGGGGGATCCCAGCGCGGATCCAAGAAATCCGCGCGGAGCGCCAAAAGTTTGAGTATATGGCGCCATTTCTCTGTCGAGAGAAAACTTGAACCACGGCAAACTGAGCAGCATCACCGATGCTGCAAGACTGGGGGATGGACAGAACCCCCATTTCGTAAAACGTGGAACCGACCTCGGTCCCAAACCTTGCGGGCGCAAGCCTGGAAAATGACGGCCGCGGCGCCCTCTCGAGAACCCAAAACGGACAATTTGCTAATCGACGTGTCAGGGTGTGAGGTCTGTCCACCCCCGAAAGACACCCACCCGCCCCCAAAAAGCCCTTAGAAAGGTACAGCCCTCTCCGAAACGAAGGTTTTCCAGAAGCTCGCTCGAAAAAACTAAAGTTTTTCGAATGAAAAAATAAAAAACCGCGGCAAACCCGGGAGCATCACCGACGCTGCAGGACACCCACCCGCCCCAAGAAAACCCTGACAGAGGCACGCACAGCCCCCTCCGCGGCGGGAAAAAAAGCGCCGCGCCTGGACGACGAGCGCCCCGGGGGCCCGCGGGTTCCTTCTCGGGAGCTGGAGGAGGAGGAGGAGGAGGAGGAGGAGGACCATCGCACGGCTTCGGAAGGGGTTCGACTTCGCTTACTGCGACTCGAGCGCCTGGGCTGCCTGGGTGGCAACCGCATCGATTGAAATCGGAGGCATGAAGACAATGGGACTCGTCTTAGAGGCCCGTGGATGTCTCCCCTCCTGGAGGCGCGCATGGGCGCCTTCTGAAAAGTGTGACTTGAATTTCCTGAGACAACTCTTCTGGAGGCTCTTCACAGTACACTCTGAATAACTGCCGCACAGGTGACATGCAACAATAAAACTCTCGTCAACAAAACTGTCGTAAACAAAAAGCTTGTGTCCATTGGGCTGCATGCCTAGCTTAGCTAGTCTAGCAGCATTGCCTGGGCACCTTTCCTTATCGCGTGAAACCTTTACTTTGTCTGAGCGGCAACGCGAGTGGCATACGCAGCAGAGCCAACGATTCTTCTGCCACGCCCAGACGTGCCCGACGCGAGCACGGGCGGTCCGAAGGGGGCGGGGAGGGGGAGGAGCCGCCGCAGCTCCAGAGCCCGAGGAGCCCCCTGGGTTAGCTCCGCCTTGCCACACTTCCGCGATTGAGCCAGCTCCGACAACGAGGTTGGTGGCCTTCACAGGCCCCTCCAGGGCCTTTCCCCCAACCCTCGGCGCAATAGGAGGCCACAGCACAAGGGCCTTCGGCACAAACCGAAGGAACCTTCGAACTCTCTGGTCGAGCAGCTGCTGGGCGTCACGCTCGTTGGCCGAGGGCTGGGGGAGGCGAGAGGCAGCTAATTTGGCGACTCTGTCGGCTGCATCGTTTCCCAAGGCGTGGCGCCACTCTTCAGAGTAGCGCTCGAGGGAATCTACATCTTGATGGGCTTTGACCTTGGCTACTTCGAAACCCCCGTCGCGGCTGGCTTCTCCAAGCTTGGCCATAGCACCAATCCCGTCATATATATTATTCCTACTGGCAGGGAGTCCCGAATTGTGGGAGGCCACGACTCCCTTAAAGTCGGAGTAGATCTTAGTTACTCCTCTGAACTGGCTGCTGGCTAGGTACGCTAGGAATTCGGCCGCTGGGGAGGTGGGTGGTAGCGCGCTGCCTACTGGCCCACACAGGTAGGCTTCTATTTCCCCATGGGGGTCACATTTAACCATAGCCCAGCCTGGGGCGTGAAACCAAGCGTGGCCCATTTTGGCCACGCTGCCGTCGACGTAAACCTCGCCAACGAAAACTTCCTCGGGTTGACGGCCATCACGGGACCAAAACACAGCTTCATTCAAACCTAATCCTACGGGCCGCGGGACCTTGAAAGGGGGCGGCTCGGGAAAACCCGCACACGTGGCAAAGGCTGCTGGGTCCTTCAGGGCTTCCACATCTCCTTCCTCAAGAAACTCCTCCCTTAGCTGAGCACAATTGGGGCACTCCAGAAGGCGGTGGAATATGTGGTCCTGGGGGGCCCCGCATATGCACGTGGTGTCAATGTCGTAGCCTGCTTCCTTGAGTCTACACTTGGTCCATATCGACTGGGTCAGGTACGAGACGAGAACACTTCGATCTTGCTTAGATAATCTTTTATCCGCAACTGCTGCTTTGGCGTGTGACAAATCAATTGCTGGCACTCCTATCTTGATGGCCGCCTGCTCCGCCTGCCTGTCGTGCCAAGCTGCCTCCAGCATCTGACGAATGAGCGCTGGCGAACTGGTGGTGAGCGGGTAGACCTCGCCCTCCCCACTCATGAACTCCATGGGGCTGGTCCATGACCAGCCAACTCTAGGTAGACTTAAATACACCGCCCCAAGAGGACCTCGTATGTTTCCCCATCCCGAAGGTGGCTTGTCCAGGATATTGGCCGCCATTTGTCGGAGTTCGGGCAGGGTGAATTCTGATTTCCTAGGGTCTTGGGCGGCTCGGAAGACTATGATGCTCCAGTACATGCATGGCCCCAGGGCGGATCTCCAGGTAGGGTCCTCTAGGATAGCGAGCGACAAGGCCCGAGAGCGCGTAGCACACTTGGGACCAGCAACCTTCAAGAACAGCGATTGAGCCCCCTGGAGCTCCTGCACAGACATCCCAAGAATTTCAGTCCCAAAATAATCAGCTTGCTGGAGTCCCGTATTCCAAACCTTACGAGTGTCAGCTCCAGCAGCACGAAGGGCGCGCAGGCGACGAAGTCTCAACTTCAACTTGCAGGCTCTTCCTTTTAAAGCTTTCCTTCCCTTGCTCCTTAGTCTGGCTCCTGCAGTGAAGTCAACTCCTAAGTTAGTGGCTGCCGTCTCGGCCACACCAGCCTGGGGGCCAGCCCACTGGCCGAGCTTGGCCGCGAGATCGGCCTTGATCATCGGCGTCGAAGCCACAACAGCAGCCTTGTGCTTAGCGATATCACACTTAAGATCGACAACGATCGACTGATGCATACTGGCTGAGGCCGTGACTAGATCTGCTATCAGTTTGTTCGGCTTGCTGTTGTGGCTGGCAAGCAGGAAATCGTCAATGAAAATGGTAGGCTGCACTCTGGGGTTCTGAGCCACCCAGATGTCGATGGGCGGCAGGCAGTACTGCTGTACAACAAAAGTGGCGGCCCAGCAGCCTGCAGCTATACCTCTCTCTGGGCAACCTGCAGGTAGGGCTGAGGATCTCGTGGCTACTGTCCTGGGCGCCTGGTACTGGTTGCAAATAATGACTACCAGGGAATCCGAGAAATTGGTATCCTGAGCTCTGTCCCTCCAGAGTCCCCTATCCACATATTCATAGTAATTGGATAAATCCCAGAGAACAGCAGCTGAGAAAACTTTCTTATCTCCCAAGAATTGCCCTTCTGCTTGCATTGCTTGTTCGAAAACAACTTCCAAAACAACTTTGCCAGCTTGATGAGCTAGATATCTACGAGGGTGAGCGCGTTCCCAGGCACGAAACTCGAGCTGACGATGCTTGCCCCAAACTCTCCAAAGACCAGGCATCATACCTATACCCCTGTAGCTAGGACCTGGGTTAGGACCTGGTTTGTGCTTTTCGATCAGAACCGTCACGATGGCTCTTATCTGCGTCGGAAAGGCCCCAATCCTCTCGATGGACCTAAGGAGCCTACACACAATATCCAGCTGGGCGTCCTCGAGGAGGCTGAAGTGTCTAGGGTGGATCCCGTCCCAGGTCCTAGCAGTGGTACTACTGAATTTGCGGCTGGCTGCGCGCAACTGATCTGCTGAAATGTCTGCAAGGTCTTCACCTCGCAATTCGGCTTGAAGAAGGGCAGGCTCCTCAGGTCGAGCTCGCCACAGCTTGCTTAAACGTTGCTGTTCCGCCTCCAACATATCGATCGGACGACCAGACCAGCGGGCTTTAGCAGAACTCCAGACTCTTGAGGGCTGCCAAGCCGTCAGTCTACTACTCCATCTGTGGGCCCACCCAACACCTTTCCCCATGGCTTCTGCGACCCAAAGTTTCCAGGATTGACGGTCGTCGGAGCGGTCCCTGGCGATTTCACGGTCCAAAGCTTTTGAAATCTCCGAGTCCAGATCTTCGAAAACGGTGGCGATGAGCTCGAAGTTGGGCTCACTGTGGGTGGCATCCAAAAGGGTAGCCTGAATACACGTGCGTACACTGGTCCTTAAAGCTTCAAACTCTGCGGCTACTTCCAAATCAGCAGGAGGTGAGGCGAGGTCGAGCTGAGCCTGGTGGAGCTCCTCGAGGTCCTGTTCCTCCACTCCCCTCCTGATGTTGGTAACTTTGTTCCTTAACCATCTAAAAGTAGCTGCTGCATTCCTCCAACTCCTCCTATCCTTGGCCTCGACAGCCTTGGCGGGTATCCATCTTATCGTTGGCACCTGAGCTCGGCGCCTCTTACTTTTGAGCGGCGTGTCGGTAACGATACTGAGCGTGGTGGACATGTCGTCCACTAGGTAGCCATACGCCG